GCTTGGCGGCGAACAGTATACGACAACAATGCGCTCGCGTTACGCACGTAATAATATCATAAAACACATCGAATTCCGCGGAGTATACACCGGAAACGTTATCGTTTTTCTTTTAATTTCACGTATAGAGGCGACCGTGTAACCGTACAGTACATTATACGTATAATTCAGTTGAAAAAAAAAAAATCGTATGACAAAATTATTACCGTGACCGAGAGTTTTATTGCGTATTGATTGCCAACGGTACATGATTTTTACTGCATACATGAATAGTCGAATCTAATAAAATGTCAGCGAATAATAATACCCGCGTTTACTCTGTCTTGGGTGTAAATGACGGGCGGAACGGCGACATTTTGTTTCTTGGACCTTCATAAACTGTGGCATTGTTAAAGGTGAAACTGCAATTCAATCGCAAATAATAAAACTTAAAGACAAATAATAATTTCCAGCACTATTTTTCCTGCAAAGTTCTCGTACAATAAAGTTAAAAATGCGAACATTATTGTTACATGGCTCTAATTTTTTTGTATCACAATTTTGTTTAGTTCAATTGTTGAATTGTTTAATTCTTGTTTCGACCCAAAATCAACAATATTTATGTTATAAGTAACATAATTTTGCTTTGTCGAACGTTGGTAGGAAATAGATAACACATGCTGGTATGACATACCCTTATAATAAATCTAAACGAACCGGAAATATATAAACTCGAATTCGTGTACAATTTCCATATTATCTATATAAGTATGCATTTATTTAAAACAACAAAATAATGTTTGTGTATTTTAAGATCGCCCGATACGCATATTTTTATCAAATCATGGATGTTTGCATGTAAAATATTAATGTGTAATAAGTGTAAAGAATACGTATACAAAAATATTTTAAAACTAATAACAGGGTACTCATGATTCAACAATTTTCTTGACAGATTCAAACAAGTAAATTAATTTTATTTTTATTTCAATTATTATTATGGAACTGTTAAGCTTTAACATTATTTCCATATCTACTCCGTGTACCTTAAATTAATATTGACTTCTAATAAGATTCGAAAAAAATTCAAATATTTTTCTAAAAATTTTGATGTGTACATAATATTGGATTTACCGTTTATGAGTGTTATAATACCGTGCATAATTTATGGAAAAGTTATAGATGCATAACAATAATAATAATTGTAATGAATCCAGTGATGAAAAAATCCCCTTGTATACGCGTCCCATTATAACTTTTTTTCTTTCAAAATGCATACCGATGGTGACACGGCAAAAGAATGTAAGCGACACGGTTTCATTATTGGACGGAGAAATACGTTTTTCATCCATTGCACATGCGCAAAAACAGCTGTGATCGTCATCTAACAAACAATTTGAATTTTAAGTTTGTGGTATAAACGATACTTTTTATTTTATCTTCTTAATTATAGGGCCTAAACGAAAATAAAAGCTAATCAACAATGCGTATCCATATTAAGGACAAACAAAAAAGACGTATTCAATGAAAAAATTCCCTATTCAAACCCGAAAAAAAGTTATTGCCAACCTACAAAAAAAAAAACCGTTAAAATCTCAAATAAATGTGTTTTGTCTCTCCTGAAAACTATGAATTGTGTCACTTAGACCCCTTTGCCGTGTCAACATCGATATCGCCATGCTCACTGGATTATCTCTATATAATAGTGCATGCACGCGTACAGTCGATTAATCGATTACAAATATCTTTTAAAAATTGATTTTATTTAGGTAACTACGTACGCTGCTGTGACTCACCCAGGAAGATGCACTGGTCACACGTTACGATTATTGCTGTGGCGTAAACTATAAAATCATATATATTTTTTGCAGCAGCAGCAATATAATGTATTGGTTCTTTGATATATTATAACGTTTTGGAAACTGCAGCTGGCTGTCGTATACAATATTAATACGTGGACAAAATGTCACATACACCTATATATATATATATATATATATATTGTACCCAAAATAATCCGGAAAAGACTAAATCGAAGACGGGACACCATATCGTTTTGAATGTTTGTTTACGTCTTTATATATACTTTAGAACCGCACAATAATATATTATCGTGTCCCCTGCTCTGCAGTCTCTAAACTTGCATAATGTAAGTAAGTACGCGTGTATCTATACATATATATATATATATATATATATATATATCACTTAAGTGTTAATTCGAAAAAAATATCCCCGGTCATAGATTTTCATTTGTTTTAAGTGTTTCTACAAATATCCACGTGTATAGATTGATATTGGTTCTCCGGTAGCGATCGCGTTTATAACTGTACAGTATACATTATTGTATTGTTGTATATTACAGGCTTTGGGTGAGCTGCGTTATAAATTTAAATTTAACAGTGATTGAACTTTAAAAAAAAGAAAACAAAGGGGAGTTTTACAATAAAAAGTCTTAGTATCGCCGTAGTTACATAGAGCGGATCTGCAGAATTTGACAATTTCCTATGTGTAATTGCACGGGACATTGTGAAACCCTGCAGATACACCATTATGTACTTAAAATATATCTATGTAGATAAAATGTAATTTATTATTCCCTCGCTATCCGAATTATTGTTGGCAGTTAGTTTTTGGTAATCTGCTGTTGTGTAGGTCTATAGCCTGCGGGGATTAGAAGTATTTTATGTAGGCGTATACAATTGTATCTTGTATTTGTATTTATAAAAAACCTATTTCGTACTTTATGTGTTTTGACTGTTTCGGTTTTAACACGTAAGTACTCGTACGAGAAGGTGACTTTTAAAAAATTGTATAAAATTCACCGTAGTGACTTAAATTACCTAGCAAAATCAGTATTTAATATATGCTATTTGATTAAAAATAATAATGTTCAGCAAAAATAATGCATTTTCAAAATTATTTGAATTATTCTTATCTAAAAAAAAAAAAAAAATTTTGATGATAATATTATTTAGATAACAAAATATCTTCTTGAATCTGTGTCATCTCATCGCGTTCCACAACAGCTTGTAATAAAATTGATTTACTCCGTGTGTAAAAAATAGTAATATGTCTATGTATTATTGAATTTGTTAACCTATATATAGGTATTCAGTCACGTATAATTTTTTCACTTTTGCTGTTTTATTACCTGATGATCATTTTTATAACAAAACCGGTCGTACATCACATATCACATCCTTTATACTCCAGGCTTTGTTTTGTTTTTTATCTATACATATATATATATTTATTTATTTGTTTTGTATTTTGTCAACTTGTATTTTTTTCGTTTTACGTCATTTTATTATTATTATTTTACTATGTTATGTGTTTTTAGATTCGAAGCGTAGCGATAGGGATCTATTGGTTTTACTAAACTGTGTGTTTTTTTTTCGTGTCTGTGAAATCTTATTTAGTTGGTATATTATGGAGGTCATTTTTTTAAATTTTTTTTTTTTTTGTGGTAATTCAGTTAAACACATTAGCAGAGACTTGATAGTTTTACTGAAAACTGATACTTGTCTTTTCTAAGCGTGGTAAAGTTCTATAAACATTTTAGACATTTTAATTTTGTAATTTTTTTTTTGGGGGTAGGCACTCTAGCTGTAGATAAAATTGTTTGACTAAACAGAAATGTTTAAAAATTGATCAGGATGTTTATTATAAGTTTTGATTAGTGGTCGAAATAAAAAGTAAAATGTAATATAGTATTTATTTTTTCTAGGTATAAATGTTTTAATTTACAATTTTGACGAAAATATTACGGCCTTTCAACAAATGTACAACCGAACTAATCGTTTTTCGTCAGCAATAGTTTACAGATGGTTTACAATTGATTACAGATATAATATATTAAATAACTGTACGTATCCTTTCCTCCTAACTTTTTTTTGTGTTTATACTGTTTTATATTCAATATTCTTGATCGTTGAGTTTAACTTCTCCGTCAAACCAACAGATGATACTAAATGTCTGAGATTTTTTTTCTTTCAAATAATATGTTATCTAGATACCATCAACCGTAAACTTATATATATATATATATATATTCTCTAATTATCCATTTTACCTTTGGATATTTTTTTTATCATCTATTTCTATGCATGAGCGGATCGGTCAACCACTAAATCCTATCATCTATACGTTTACGAGTAGGCCGGCAACAAAAATAATCAAAATTGAAATTATACAATAATGTAAGTACGCGTTTGCAATATTTTATTATTTTACTGTCATTTTTACCGCCAAATTAATTAGGGCTCATCACTTACCTGGCGTCCAGCAATAACGATATTATATTAAATTTTTTAATCAGTATAAACATATACAGTGTATAATTTTCAAATTGATTTTTACTCCTTTTCCACCTGACCTACTCTATTCTACTCGTAGAAGTATTTCGTAAACATTTGCTGGTAACCTGGTCAAATTTAATTTGTTCGTTCTGAAACTTCATCCATAATATGTTATTAGTGATTACACGAACAACATAACAATGTCAATTTAAACAAATTTCAGGGATCGAAAGGTTTAAGTAAAACATTTGTTTTTGTACACAATACGATCAAAGAAATGACTACGTAAATGATTTTTAGTGAAATAATAATGATAATAAAATGATCATAGGGACATTATGCGTGTTTTGGCGAATAACCAAATGTTATCTGATTACTGTATTTTATAAACAAGTCGTTTCGGCGGCTTTGGTTATTACCCTTCGGTTGTGTCTTATGGTTTTATGTTACTGAGATATCATAAACAAACAAAAATAACGGTTATGATGTTTGGTTATGGATAAAAGTAATGAATATAGTTATCTAACCAGTATTTTTTTATTTTAAATCCACCGTTATAGGTAAATTTGTTATCTCAAACACAATTGTATTTATTGTATAGTGAATAAATGAATGCTCAAGTCTGAGGGTTGAATGCTAAAAAACACCTCAATACCTATTATCAATTGATATTATGTATGATGCCCAAAAACATGTAGTTTTCGCAAATCCATTACAACCATTAGACAACCGTAATTGTGTATAACCATGTCTGATAACGAATATCACCGGGTTATAATGGCCAAAACACTATTTTTCTTAATACGATGGTGTATACGGAAAATAAAAACGCACGATTTTTTTTTTCTTTTCCGTTTTGATTATAATTGTATAATATGTATTAGGCTTTATTTTCGAAACACATTATCAGTATTATTTAATATAATATCAAGACAACATTAATATAATATAATAATATTATTATACAAATAAATTATATGGTTTGTTTTTCTCGCTGTCTCGTTGCTTTTATATAGTATTTTAATAGGTACTCGTATAATATAAATATATATAATAAATTAATAACTATGGGAAAAAAAAAAAAAAAAACGATTCCTGTTTATATTATATATTATTATTTGTACAAAAAAAGAGATTCCATAAAAATATTATCTGATTGCAATATTAAATTATATTACATGAAAGTTACGCGATAAATTAAACGAAACACAACAATAAAATATGTACGTTAACTATATTATCCAATAAAAGCTAATATTTGAAACTCGTCAATTTTTTTTTTTTTCCGTACGCCGGTTTCTACTCTACCATATACTATGTGACAGAAATGTGTACGCGTTTGATTTATGTATACGTTAAAAAAAAAAAATGGTGAGACTATAGAATCGAGAATAACAATAATAATATGCAGTTACCTATATTGTGTATCGAAACATAATATACGAGGAAAAAAGGTTTTTTTTTTTCTTTCTTTAATTCAAAAAATTTCCAAAACACGCTACACTTAAATCTCTATAATATACTCTTACGTATTATATATTTATTTATACGTGAATATAATATAATATTAGGTATACGTATAATCTTATCGTATCTAAAAAGTATATCTAACCGAAATAATGTATAATGACGTATTATTATCAATATACGCGTCTATGTATTATAAACAACATTATATTATAGTTTAATATAACGTATTAAAAACTAACCTTAAAAATGCTTATTTAGAAAAAAAAAAAATCTCTTAATTTTCTCTTCTCTTATTAGATCGTAATATGAATTATAACATATTTAGATGATTTATCATCGACATTTTTATGCAAGATATTTTTTTGTTTTTACAGCACAATGAATTATTAAAATCGTATACAGACATTTTATTATATAATGTAACAATATTACGTATATTTGTTGTATCCACCGTAACACATGGATAATAATGTTATGAGTGTCGCTTCGAGTTGAGCGCCGAACAGCGAATGTTTTGTACACGTGTCTGTCTCTTCGTTTTAGTATAGGTACACGTACGTTCACCGATCTTCTGAAAAACAAGCAACGCACATTAAAATTATTAAAAACATATTACAATAGATTTTAGTACTCTCGGAGTTCGTAATTTTTATACATAAAATATGTTATAGATATTAAACTTTTCGTTTTCTACGCTATCCACTTTTTAATACAATAAACTGCGACACGAAATATAATATTATACGTTACGAATAAACTCTCCGGGAGAAACAACGCATCTCAGCACGTAGTTTCAGATACACGTGTACAAAACTATCAACAATACCTATGGTTATTATTCGGATTTTTATAGATGTGAAATAAAACGCTTAAAATATTAAAAAAAGCCCCACAAAAAAAAAAAAAAAACGTTACGTATGCAACAGCTAATAAGTGACCAAAGATGCGGTTCATATGTGAAAATTAAAATGGAAGTGGATAGTGGATAGAATATAGACAAGAGTGGAAATCGGCTGCAAACCAATGTTCGGATTGAAACCGTTGGAGAGAGATGTATGCAAGTGTTTAAAAAGGCGGCGATTGTCACCGCTTAAATTAAGTATTGTGTGTTCAAAAAAAACCCCATACGCAATATTAGGACTCTTTCTATAGTATCGAAAATCATTGATTTGTACCGTAAATACGTGTAAAATATTGTTGTGATTAATAGTATTGATATGCAATCAAAAGTAATTTGTAAGGGAATATAATAGTTTAATGTTTATCTTTTATTAACATAGAAATGTAACGTAACACTTATTTTTGTACGAGATAATATCAATTTCTATCGTTTTCTTGAGAAAAAAAAAAGTATATTGTCTTAGAATCCGAATCCTAATCAAATTATAATTTTCGTTAGCGAAACCTTACTGGCCGTGGTGAATGTGTCAGTTTTGTTTTCAACACGAGCAAATTAAATTTTGAAAATTACTAAATGACATAGTGGCACAATTGCTGAATGCAGCCCCTCATAAGCTCGATAAGACGGAGATCAGCCCTTCACGGTTTTCATATATGAAAAAAGAAAAAACAATATTTGTCACGTAAATTCTCAAAACACTAATTTTTTTATGACAGATTAATTGAGAAAGATACATTCTTTTTATTTATTATTATTTTTTTTTTTTTTTGATATCGATAGCAGAGAAAAATTGTAGATTTAGGTAATCAACCGGGTTCTTGATCAACTGGTGTCTGGCGTTTTTAAATTTTCGTCTTGTGATTTTTCGCGGTCTTATTGATGACGCTGCAATACTGGTAAAAACGTTATTGCCTCGTGCGAAACGACAAACGGCTACGGGGGCCCATTTTGGCACTTGTTTAACGAAAATAAAAACGGGAAATTTTACGGTGGGTCTTAGGCGAAACCGCGCGCGTGCAGCGAGCTCCCCCGTGACGTTCTCAGAATCCGGCGGCGCGCCTCTGTCAAAAATATTACGACGCGGTGACACGCGCGTGTACAGAGCGTATACCCACAGTATAAAATCCCAACGAAAATAAATAGAAACGAGAAAAATGGAAACGAAAAAAAAAAAAAAAAAAAAACCCGAGCGCGAAGGAAGCGCGGTAAAATCGATATATTTTTTTTTTTTTTTATTTATACGCGCGCGACAACGGCACGGGCGCACTGCAGTCGTCGGGGGCCTTTTCGCGTCCGTCGTATTCGAACGCGCGCGCGTGTCGCTGGCGCTGTACACCGTCGTGACGTCGGCAATGTCGCCGGATGTCGTCCGCGCGCGGCAAACACTCCGCGAGATGCGACGAGATGCCGCGGCGTTACGTTCCGTGTATTGTTATTGTTATTGTTATTGTACCGCGGCGCGCGAGGAAAACCCACGTGGTGCCGCGGCGGCGGCGGCGGCGGCGTTTCCGGTTTCCGCGTGAAAACGCGACCCACCAAAATGCGTTTAAAGTCGCACTCCGTATATTTGTGGCATTTTCGGTATAGGTTCCCGTTTGAAAAACCCAGAGCTGGTAATCGCCGCAGAGGATCCGTTAAACGCCGCGAAAATTCCGAGTGTCCGATCGAAAACATTTCCAACAGAATTACACTTGAAAATGCCAAAAACCGGAACTCGAATGTATGCAAAATTTAACCGAAAAAACGGCGTAGGCATGCGAAAAATAGTGTAGTTCACGCGTATACAAGTATATTTTTGTAAATATAACGCAATAAATTATACGATATTACACACACACACACGCAGCGCGAATATTACGCGTTATTATTATTATTATTATTCGCGTTTAGATACGAGATCCCATAAATTCGTTCCCGTATATTGTAATCTCGCCGGACGCCGTATATCGCGCGCTTATAGATTTGTCAACTCGCCGGAGAAATATTTTCGTGTCTTGTCGCCGATAATAATATCATACAATATATGTATAATATATTATTTATCTCGGATTATTAATATTTTTTTTATGCGTGTGTATTTTTTTCTTTTTCGCCGCGACGATATTTTACGCTGTACTTAATGCCGCACGGAAATAATATATAAATATAAATATACGGCGGAGACTACCGAGATAAGTTTGACTCGGGTCTATATACACAACGACGAAAGTCCGTAAAAAAAAAAAAATAATAATAATAATAATATACGATTTCACAATGGCGTACACAATGTTTAAAATATCTATTTGTAAATTCTAAACAACATAACTTTTCAGACATGCCCCGGAGTTACTGTTATACACGTGTATACATATATCGTATGTACGTATTGTCGATTGATTTACGCTTTTTTTTCCTTCTTCTCCGTAGCGTACAATATAATATACGATAAAACGACGAACAAAAAAAAAAAAAACCTCGACCTATATAAACATCATAATATTATGTATATACATACGGACGGGGGGAACGTTTCCTAAACAAATACATATGCGCAACGTGCGTGTGCGCTCGTCGCGCGCGAATCCGTGGACCGGATCCGAAAACGACGACGGAAAACTTTTCGAAACTCGCTGTATTGTATATTATTAAAGTATTAAAAAATGAAAATGTGGCGAAACGTACGCGATATTTTATTTATTATATACGGCGGCCGTGCGCGCGTTTTCGCGCAAGTCCGGGACCGGGTCGGGGTCCGAAAACTTACAACGCGTACGACGGAGAACGCGAATGATTCGTCGGCCCGCACGTACGAGTAGGCGGGGATCGAAAGTCGAACGTTCCAAACGAGAGTTTGAACGTTTTTCAGATAACGAAAACGGGGAAACGATTTTTTTCGGTACGAAAAAAGACATCCGTAAATTCGTATTTCTTACGCGACCCGTCGACAATCCGCCCGTATACGTGCACCGTAGCCGGTGACCGACGATGTCGTACGCGTGGAGCTTCCCGCGATACGATTGGCGCATCGTAGCCCGACGTAGCTATAAACATACATTGTCTCCAGGTAACAGCGTGCGTGTTGTTGTGATGACGTGGCTTGGGCGACGCGCAGAGGAGACAATGACACATCACGGCGGAAGAAGTAAATAAGTACAACAGGGTCCGAAAACGACAAGAGCCGAGCGCGAAAAACAGTAGCGTCAAACGTATTGTGCAACCGAAATGTGTACGACATTTTATGAAAACGGTTTTTCGTTAACGTGTGGGTGTTGTGTACGCACCAGCGGTTTAGTTATAACTCATCATTTGAATGCGATAGGTAACATTCTGTTCCGGTTCGTGCTTGTTCGTTACATTATTATTATCATGGATTTTAATATTTTAATGGAGATTTTCGATTCTGAACTGATGATTTGTTTTCGAGAGTTTGAAAGTTATCGTTGACATTTACATTTCAATTTTAAACGTATCTGAATTGATTTCATTAATTTTTATATTCATTAAACCCCTCTTTCGAAATCCACTTAAATCCACGAATTCCACCCAACAGCCAACGATGTGTAGTCGTTTCAAGTCGAATACGGATATTTAAGCGCGCATGCCGTCTAATCAAGTACAAAACGACATTATTGTATTTAAACGTTTACGTTGTATTATATTGTATAGGGAATTTCGTTCGCGACGGTGCACGTTTTCGTTTTCGGATTGTTATCGTTCCGCAGGTCCTTGTCATTTTCGAACGACCGCTGACGTTCCGGTACAACGGTATGGTGTATTAACAACTCATGAATATTTCATATTGAATTCGATGTATTCAATGTGCGTATGATCCTTTTTTTTTTTTGGCGGAAACGAACGGATTGTGATAGTGGATCTATAGAATTCAGCAGAACACGCCTGCGTGTGTGCATCATATTTTAACGACGGTAGCCAACGATGGCCGCGATGTCGGTCAAGTTTACGCCCGGGCCGCGGTCGCCCGGGACCGGCTCAAAACGAGTGGATCGACGGCGGCGGGTATATTTTTTTACCATTAGCGACACGACCCCGAGGGCACGCGTTGGCGCGATTTGTCAACGACGCTATCGCCGCGCCGTACGGACGATGACGCG